AACAATGCAGGCTTGTGTAGAAATTTAGTTCTTGATGAATTGCCATTTATTTTTGTGGAGACAAAGGGGTTTAGGAAGTTTTGTGCACATGATTGCCATTGTTTAAGGTCCCATCTAGGAGAACTCTTGTCAGGACTTTTTTACATATGTATGAAGCTAAGAAAGAACAACTAAAAAACGATCTTGTTTCCCAAAGAGTTTGCTTAACCACTGATACTTGGACCAGTGTCCAAAACTGCAACTATATGGTTTTAACAGCCCATTTATTGATTCAAATTGGGAAATGCATAAAAGGATTTATGTGTTATTACCAATCATCAGTGGATTACTATAGCTAACTTAATTGAACAATGTCTAGCTGATTGGAGAATTGATAAAGTTTTGACTGTTACAGTGGACAATGCCTCTGCCAATAAGTTAGCTTTAGAGTATTTGGTTGAAGAGCTAAATGATGTCTTAAAAAACTAAACTCTACCATTTTGGCAATTAGAAATGCTGTAAAGTTTGTAAGAAGCTTACCATCTAGGTTGGCACTTTTTAAGAAGGTTGTGGTTAGGGAAAAATTTGATTATAAGGGATTGGTGTGCTTAGATGTGCCAACAAGATGGAATTTAACATATTTGATGTTGGATTCTGCCTTGAAACTCAAAAGAGCATTCAAAAGAATGGAAAAAGAGGTGGACAACCCATATCTTGCATACTTCAATGATCCTGATGAGGAGCTTGATGAGGATGGAAATGTAATTGTTCAGAAAAATGACAAAAAAAAAACAAAATAAAATAAAATTGGGCCACCAAGGGATTCAGATTGGGATGCATGTGAACATTTTATAAGCTTTCTTCATATTTTTTTGTGATGTCACACTTAGGGTAAGTGCCTCTAATAACCCAACCATTCACACTACCTTTCATGATAGTTAACATGGAATCAGCTATGAACAACAAATCAGTTTTTCCTCCCATTACTGCAACTCATAAATTAATGGCAGACATTGCATCACTCATGAAAACCAGGTATAACAAATACTTTGGTCAACTAAAGGATATGAACCCTTTAATCTTTGTGGAATTGTGATGGATCCAAGGTTTAAGATGAAGCATGTCACACTACAACAAAAGAGGTATATTGGGACACATTTATTTGGGATGCTTTTTTTATTATGTATCATAATATCTATTTTGGGACACTTATTAATTTGAGTGCAAGAGAAAGAACGAAAACAAAACTTCTCCCAAATTTGTTTAAACCTTCACTCTAAATCTCAACCAAACCCCAAAATGCCATCCTCTTAGAAATTCACCGACGAGCCATCAAACTCTAGCCAAAATAATCGTCCACCGTGTCCAATCGCTTGATTGCAGACAAACCCAATTTCTAGGTTGAGAGGTCGGGCGATGGTAAACTGTAGCTTCTGAATTCTACGAGCAACCACCGAATAAAAGATTGACGGAGACGGCCATTCCGACGGTGCTGGAAATTTTCATTAATGAAATTTTGAGGTATGTTGGACTTCAATTCTCAACTACGTGAATTATGTGATACAAGCTTAATCATGTGTTTTGGCACCCTTTACTCTTTTGTATTGTTTTGAGATTCTTTGATGAAAAAATCAAGCTTTCTTTTTAAAAAAAGGCTGGTAATCACTCATTTTTATTTTCACTTTTAATTTTGAGTTTGTAAGCAGTGTGTATATAATTACTTCAAGATTGGTTTTTTCTTTAATGAATATAGTTTATCTTCGGAGGTTTATTTCATAGGTAAATATATATGAGTGGTTAACATATCTTATCTTAGCTAAACTGTTAATTTGAAATTATTGGTAAGTGCATGCGTCATAATATATAATTTCAAGTGAGTATATGAGGAGTGACAGTTTTTAGTTTTTTGCTAAAGAGAAGCATGTAACGAATATTTGGCTGACATAGGTGAATCCAAATCGAAGATATTGTCACAAACATTGAAATCTAGAACTGAAATTGTGGGACGTCCATGGATACATTTTGTTGGGAAGTAGAAATTATATTGTGTGTTCATAGACTTTATATTTGGGTTTTTCTCTCCAATTAGTGATGCCTCTTCAGAAATATATACCAAATCTTGTTTTTTTTTTTTTTTTTTGTTGTGGAATTAATAAATAGTTTGATTGTTTGATGTGTGTTACAATAGACTTCATATGTATATTACTATGGTGCTCAAGTTTTTGCCATCACTATAGCATTCAGAATATATAGAATATATGTCACTGCAGGTGATTTTAAGAAGGATTTGTGAAGGGACTAATGGTGATGAGGATTTCATTTCATTTTGTGGTGTTCGGATGAGAATGAATGCAATGATAAATTTCAAAAAATAATTTGTATGATGACTCTTGAAGCCGCAGTGGTGTGCTAATACAGAATTTGAAATGAGTACCATTTCGACACTATTTTTGCTTGATCTATATAAAACTTGCTAACAATAATTTTTTTTCCTAGGAATCCTAATCTAAACTAGTGGTATTAATAATAAATGTTAATCAGATATAATATAGTAATAGATCACCTAAAACTACTAACCGCAAAAATACCTTCTCTTGTCAACATTTTTTGATTTTGTACTGAATATATGTTCATGTGCTCATATCATGAAATAAGAAAATAATGGAGTGTGTGCGTATAAATATATATGCATCTCGAATTCTTATCAATTTTTCTATCTGTCGTACTACAACTTGCATGAATAAGAGTCTGCAAAAGCACTTCATAACTTTAAATATCATGTTGAAGGATATTCGTTATTCCATTAACACATACTTTTTCCTTATTTTAGTTCACATATTCTGTTTTATTTTTATGTTATTTGATGTTTAAGAAAAAAAAAAGAATCAACCCCAACACCATCGTCAATGGGAGAAGATTATGTTTCGTTCTTGCATTTTTTTCTTTATTTCAGTTCACATGTACTTTTTGGTGACATGGATTAGGCTTTTATTCCATATAGTATTAGATTTACTTGACAAATTGTTTATCCTAAAGAATCTTAATGAGTAATAAAGCAATTTAGTTTCACTTATTAAGCCTTATAAATAATTTTTTTCAGAATATAGTATTATTTATATTTTTCTTGTTTCAGTTTATCGGACTTAATGTATTCTATTATATCTTTTTTTAAAATTTACTAATAAAATAAAGTACATGATGTACATATTGACCGATGATTCCATGGATAACATTTACAGTTGTCTAGTTGATGTTTGACAGTATCTATGTTCTCTACAGTTGTCTTTTTTTAAGAACAATCTTTACAATGATATTTAAAATAGTTTGATTTTGGTCTTAGCCTCTATAGTCTGTACTCTGGCATGAAACTTGGTTAAGGGTTATTCATAAATTATTTCAAGTTATTTTGTTTTCATCTCTTTATGAGTATATAAAAGATTACATGTTAATTGTATACTTTTTATTTAGTGTTAATACTATTAAATAGCCAAGTTTACAAAACACAAATTTTGGCCCCCTTTTGTAAAAAACATTTTTTTTAGCCATTTTGGCATGTGTTATTACTACATTACCCCTAACTCAATTTTGGCTATCGTTCCCCCCAATTCAATTTATTTTCAGAAATCGTAATTTTCATCTCCCCGCTCTCCGCTCTTGCTCTGAAATCTCACGACCTCACCATCATCTTCAACATCTTCAAAAAATTCATCCCCAACAAATTCATCCCGTTCGAACGTCTTCTTTCACGACCTCCTCCGAACGCCGCCCTTCACGACCTCGACCGAACGCCGTCGACCTCGCCGGAATCTGAAATAAAAGTTGCCCTTCACGACTCTCGACCGAACGCTGTCCGAATTACCAAAAGACCTTGCCGGAATCTGAAATCAGGTAGTCCAACTGCTGACCTCCCTTTTTGGTTGAAATTAGGGTTTTTTTTTCGAATTAGTCCCTTCATGTTCAAATTTAGGTTTTATTTTTTTTTATTTTTTTTTACTTGTTATTCAGCTTACCTAGTCATTGTTGTTTCAATTTGGAAAAGAGTTAGGGGTAACCAAGTGAAATTTGTCCCTAAAAGAACATTATGTTTTTTGGTATTTTCTGTTTTTTTATTATTATTATTATTATTATTTTTTATTTATTTATTTATTTATTTTTTTGCTCATAAGGCCTTTTCAATTCCTGATTTGCTTGGCATGTATTTATGGAAATTGTTTGTTGGACAACAGATCCGTGGACGTAAAAGACCGGAATTATGTTTATGATGGAAGTATTAGTCCAAAAGATGGAATATTAGACCTTGATGTCTCTTATGAAGAGAGGGAAGAAGAAATTTTGGAAATATTAGTGGAAAAGGAGAAAGTTGCGCCTTCCCTGGAACTCTGGAAGAATCAAGTAGCTTGGCTTCTAGTATGAATGGACTCACATACACTGCTAAACAGACAATTAATGAGAATCATCTGCAACAAGTTTGTGGTTACTTTTTGATGTCCTGTATTGCTTTTCATTTGATTTTAATCTTACATATCAAACTTGTGTGGTTCATTGATGTTACTTTTTCTTTTTTCTCAAGTTACAAAAGTATTCCTATAATGTTGGAACAACATAAGTTGTTGGAATTTACTTTTTTCAAGCATTGCACCTTAATTATTTTTCTCACTTGTTTGCTGCAGTCACCAGATGAAGATGCACCACCTGCATTTCGAGCACCGGTGTTTGACACAAAAGTTACAAAACAAAATTTGTATGAGGAAGCTGGTGATTCCTGCTGATGTTAATTTTTCAAATTGCTTATCCAAATTTATTTCTTCAGGATCTTTTTGATGACTTAGAACCAAATGTATAAATGTACTAGTGCTGAAGATGAGCATTCCTGGGAAGTCTTTGGTCTCATTAAGAAGCTAAATATTGTCCCTGACAATAAGAAAAAGCCAAAAGCATTGTGTAAGACTTGTCTTACCTTTTCTTTTGAATATTTACAAGTGTTAATACAGTTTCCCATACTGATCATTTGTTGTATGCAGCATTCTTTGACACGGTGTTAAAGGGAGGAAATAACAACAGCTGTTCGAAGGTAATCCTTAACAAACTTGGGAATATTAGTATAGGATTGAAAGTCAATCTTGTCCACAAAGAATGATTGATGCAATGTTGTTGGATGCGTGATGTTATTCTGTTGAGTATGAGAAGTAAATTATACCTGAATTATATCAGTTCCTAAAGAATCATATGCTTATCTGAGGTTGCAGAGCCTTTAAAATTTATCACCACAATGTTCTATTCTGCAATTTCCCTTTGCATGCCCGTTTAACCTGACATAATATATTCTTTATTTTCCCCTCCCCCCGTGGATTCACATGGTGACGATGACCTTGCAAATGTAATTTTCATAAACTGGGCTCTGAATATGTAGGATATTGGAATATTTGATTTGAATGTCAACTGCAGTCGGACGGGTATCAAACCATTCAATTTCATCATCTCACAAGCAAGGGTCAAGAGAAGTTCGATCTTTTATTTTTGGAAGGGATGATAGTAATAGCAGAAGTTCCATGTCAATTTCAGAGGATTCTTCAGATGCTGTGAGTTTCTTTGCATGAAACACGATTGACAGTAGGACATAATTACAACAAGTTACTAGATCTAGACCTTAGTCTAAATGCATAATTACTCTTTTAACTATTGGTACGATATTTATGTTGAGGACAGAGTCGTGAAGGTCCTGAATCTGGAGCAAGGAGGGGATTTTAGTGTTTGCAGCGCCGAGGATCTGCTCAAGGCTATCTGATATTGTTAGGTATGTCTCTCTTTATTTAATAATGAACTATAGAATGTTTCGAGAAGATGAAAATTGCCTAATTTGGACTACTAACTGAGTGGTTGAGGTTTGAAATTGGGAGTTCGTGTTGTGCTCTTAAGTTAGTTCCTTTTTTTGTGTTCTGGTTGATTTTTTTGTCAAGATTCTTTGATTTTTATTGTGATTTGTTTGTGTTATGGTTTTAGGGATGTCGATTGTAGTAAGTGATTCAATGGCTATAGAGCCCGGGCCCGACGTGCCTCCTGTTAACGGGGGGGCCTCTGAGTATGATGTCGGGCCAAATCAAGGTGGAGTTTGCGAGATGCTATTGTTGCGGGCTTACTGAGGAGTCACCCTAACATACACATAAACAATCCGAGAAAGATAGTATTTATGCAAAACGAACCACTCCATCTGACATCGACTTGGAAACACAGGTAGGAGATCAATACAAACTTGTACCTGGCACATTGTATCAAACTGTTAACTACATGAACCCTTATATTTCTGGAAATGTCATGGATATGCAAAGATTGCAATTGTTTGGTGTGGCTTGTGTGATGATGGCATCGTAAGTTTGTTATTCAAAATGTTTTGTGTATTATCATTGTGTATAATCTTTCTACCTGCATCTGATGCCACAAAGTTCTCGACTTGGGAGTATAATCATATGAATGCGTACTTCTTATAGTATCCTTAAAAATAGTTATATATATATGCCCATAGAGTCACCTTAAAATCTTATGAGTTCTAGTTAGAGTAAATTTATCCATTTAGTGTTCATTTACAAGTTTTTCGTCAATACGATCTATTTACTCATTTTGAAAATTTTTATTCAATAGTTGCAGACAAAGTATGCAGACAAAGTATATGATTGGGCAACTTCGCATCCATTTGTTTCCTAAGTTAGACATTGGTTAGAACATTGAAGAATGAAGCTCAAGGCGACAATGAAGATACTTATTATGAAGCAATCTAGACTGATTATAATTCCATGTACCATTATGTGTGTTCATGTTCTTGTTTTAGATTCTGATTGTAGATGGTATTCTGATAAGTATTATGTACATTGCCATATTATAGATTTAATAAATAAAATTCATTTTAATATTAATTTATCATTATTCGTTCATTTATAAATGATTTAAAAGTGGCACCGAACATTCAAAATTGCTTTAGCAATAATAATTAGTAAATAAATATGATTGTCGAATATAAGAACGGTCGAGGAATATTTTTACTGGAATCCAAAGATTCGAACACCGAAATTAGGATGGTGATCAATCATCAAAGAAACACATAACACTCATCAATGAAAATAAAAAGAGAACTTACGATTAATACGCAATTCAATGTCAAAAGAACAACGAGAAATCTAAATCGAGCATGATGATTGATGACGTTTTTATGCTCCAAAATCCAATCCAAGATGAAAACAAAGTGAAAATATGTTTGTGCCCCCAAAAACATAAAAAAAACGAAGTCTCTATGCCCTAGGCTCGATCTCATACCTTAGCGGCGCTAACCCTCCATAGCGCCGCTAACCCGCCTTAGCTGCAGCTGTCTGTACCCGCTAAGTTATGAAGCGCCGCTAACCAACTGACCTTAGCGGCGCTAACCCTCCTTAGCGCCGCTAAGCAACCTTAGCTGCAGCTGTCTGGACTCGCTAAGCTATGAAGCGCCATCATTTGTCTGGACCATCATTGATGTCCTCATTTTCATTATCATGCTCGAGTTGCTCATTCTCGTCCTCACTTCCGCTTTCAGTCTCGTGGACGTTCGCTTCTTCATTCAAATTATCATAATATCGACCATCATCGTCACCATCAAATGTACTATCTTTACCCCAATCAACATGGTTTGAAAAATCACTTTCAACAGCTCGAGAAGCGGAATGTTGCACTATATTGTTACCAAAACCAACATTTGGGTTGTTTTGCCAATGTAAGTTCGCAAGAGATGGAACGGTAACACCATATGGATAAAACGGCTGACCTTGAGCAGCAATTAAGTTCAAAAATCCTCCTTGCCCCCCCGCAAAAGAATGAAAGTTGGTTGGTGGTTGAGTAGAAAATCCACTTACTCCACGATCTTTGGCAAGCAAGGTAACATATATAGTAGGTACTTGGAATAATTCGGCCAAATTGTGCAAGTCAGATTCACAAGAAATTCTCCATTTTTCCAACTCTCCATTTTCATTCGCCATCAAGAAGTGAAATCGATACTCACATGTGTGTTTGTCTCCACCAACAATGTCATTAACTCTATTTAAAAAGTCTTCATACGATAAACTCCCCAAGCGCATAAAGTTCATCTCTGCCTGTCCATTTTTATAAACATTCTCATCCCAAAATCCGCTATGCACAATTCGAACTTTTTCACATTTCTGTAAACCAAAGATGTAAAAGTATTTAATGACAAACAATTTCAAATAATTATTTGAGAATTAAGTAATCAATGTTTATAAAAAATCAAATAAAATGGTTTATAAAATGATTTTTGAAATCAAACAGATTTTTGGGACAAGAAATAATGACAAATAATTTCAAAACAGATTTCTGGTCCAGAAATTGAATTTCTGGTCCAGAAATCTATTTCTGGACCAGAAATAGAGGTCCAGAAATAGATTTCTGGGTTAGAAATGTGATTTCTGGACAAGAAATCGATTTCTGGACCAGAAATTCAATTTCTAACCCAGAAATCTATTTCTGGTCCAGAATTCGATTTCTTGTCCCGAATTTGAATTTCTGGTCCAGAAATCGATTTCTTGTCCAGAAATCACATTTCTAACCCAGAAATCTATTTCTGATCAAGAAATCGATTTCTTGTCCAGAAATCGATTTCTTAACCAGAAATCACATTTCTAACCCTGAAATCTATTTCTGGACTGAAATCGATTTCTTGTCCAGAAATCACATTTAAATCTATTTCTGGACTAAAAATCGATTTCTTGTCAAGAAATCGATTCCTTGTCCCAGAAATCGATTTCCGGTCCATAAATCACATTTATGGGACTAGAAACGAGATAATCTAGAAAAACGATTTCTGGGAACCAGAAATCACATTTCCGACCCAGAAATCACATTTCTGACACAGAAATCGATCAGTTCACATTTCTGTGTCAGAAATGTGATTTCTGGGCCAGAAATCGATTTCGTGACAAGAAATCGATTTTTTCACATTTCCGTCCCAGAAATCAACTTATTGGTCAGAAATGTGACTTCTGGACCAGAAATCACATTTCTGGTCCAGAAGTCACATTTCTGGGACTAGAAACGAGATAATCCAAAAAACGATTTCTGGGTCCCAGAAATCACATTTCTGGTCCAGAAATTAAATTTTTGACCCAAAAATTGATTTCTGGATCGGAAATGTGATTTCTGGGCAAGAAATTAATTTCTGGACTAGAAACGAGATTACCCAGAAATCGATTTCTGACCCAGAAATTGATTTCTGGGTCAATTTCTAGGTCAGAAATCGATTTCTGGGTCAGAAATCCAGAAATCGATTTCTGGGACAAGAAACGAGACGATCCAGAAATCGATTTCTGGGTGGGAAATGTGATTTCTGGGTCAGAAATCGATTTCTGGTCAAGAAACGAGACTATCCAGAAATCGATTTCTGAGCCCAGATTCGATTTCTGGACCCAGAAATCAATTTCTGGGCCCAGAAATCATTCAATGTTCCAAGAAATCTATTCTACAATTTTATTTTATTTTATTTTTTTTTTGCCATATTCATTTACTAATTTTAATAGTATATATATGTGGCCCATTAAAAAAAAATTATAACAATACCTTTACACTAGTATTCCCGAGATATCACCGAAATGTTGCCGGAATGAATATAGAGAGAATGATTTTTTTTTTTTTTGTTAAGAGAATGATTTTTTTTTTTCAAAAGAGAAGAGAGATGAAGATAATGGAAGAGAGAAGAGAGATAAACCTTTTTTTTTTAAAAAAATAATATATAGTAAGGGCATTTAAGACTTTTCATGTGCCAAAATGGCTAAAAAAGATGTTTTTTTCAAACTATGACTAAAATTTGTGTTTATCATTTCTACATGGCTAAAAAAAAATTCTCTGTTTTCATTATCCTCCATTTTTGGTACACGCTAGTCCCAACTTCCCCCATTTTTTTCATCACATTCAAATTATTCTCAGAAAAATGGAGAGAGAGAAAGGCGACCCAAATTCTTCATCTACCTTCATCCCGTCATCTGGTCATACATCAACCTCCACTCATCACGAGAGAGAAAGAGGCGGCCCGAGATCTGTTTCCTCGTCACGAATCGAGAGAGATAGAGACCCTTTTGTTGTTCTGCTCTCTTCTCTCCGGCGAATAACCCAACCGGCAAACTCGATGCTCCTCTCCTGCGAATCGATCTCTGCCGCCGTCTCCCTCGTTGCTCCTCTCCCCGAACCGGAAACCCCATGGGAGGTAACTAGGGTTCTTTTGACTTATCTCTTTGTCTACTTTTTTCTTTCCTCGTTGAATTAGGGCTTCTCCTCCCTGTTTGAGTGGTGTTTGAGACATCAATTTTTCATTTTGAATTTCGCAGTTAAATTTACTGGTTGTGTCATGAACATTGTTCTTGATTTATTTTGGGAATATGTTTGTGTGTGTGTGTGTGTTTCGGTGGGTGTGTTTCATGTGTTCTTTGTTTTCTTCAAACGTAATTAGCTTAATTATGAGATTTTCAACAAGTACGGTAACATGAATTTGTGTTCCTAATCGAAGATGCTCGTGCTTCATGGAAAGGTCCATGGCGAGCTTCAGGCCGTG